CACCCCCAGGGCGGCTGCAGAGGCGCCCACGAGGTGGGGACCGCGCACGAGGCCTCACGAGGTGCGTCTTGAGCGGGGGAGAGAAGTGGGGGAGGCACCTCCCCTTCCGGTGGCCAGTCCTCGGGACCCAGGCCACAAGCAGCCATCTCCTCCTAACGGGGCTTGTGGGAAAACAGACGTGCGACTGCCTGCCTCATCGGGACTCTGAAACCCACACTTTGTAAATGTGCCTCTCTTGAACAAAGACTGGTTAAAATGGCCCGTTATGGTCCCTTCCCCCCATGGAAACAACCCTGCAGAGGTAAGATTTTCCTTTAAAATTAAGGAATACAGCCATTCGTAGCAATGCAAGCCTGGAATCCGTGCACTTGAGAGGCTGAGGCAGGAGGGTCTTGGCGAATCTGAGTCTATATAGCAAGACCCTGTCTCAAAAAAGCAATCAGTAAATAAAAGTTAAGAATAAGGGGCTGGCAGGGTAGCGCAGTGGCAGGGTGCCTGCTTAGCCTGTCCAACACCTTGGGCTTCATTCCTAGCATTCCCCCCCAAATGAAGATAAATCTGAAGGAAAACTCCTTAACCTAACTGGACACCCACACACTTCACACCTCAACTTCAGTTCTGTTCCTTTCTTTCTTTTTTTTTTTTCCTGGTACCAGGGATCAAATTCAATGCCTTGTGTTTTTGAGGCAGGCATGGTGCCAGTTCTGTTCCTTCCCTACTCTGCTCCAAAATGCACAATTATGGTTTTTGTTTTGTTTTGTTTGGTACCGGGGATCGAACTTGGGTTCTAGTACTTGCGAGGCAGACAGCAGAACCACTGAGCTAAATCCCCAGCCCCAGTTATGGTTTTTGAATCTCTGAATTAGCTTTTAAAAGTAATCACGTGTAGAGAAATGTTTATTCAATTTGGCGTTCAGCTCAAAAGGCTGAAGCAGGAGGATTACAAGTTTAAGATCAGCCTGGACAAACGCAGGGAGACCGTGTCTCAAAATAAAAAATTCAGTGTGACCGGGGATTTACCTCAGTGGTTCCACCACCTGCCTCGCAAGCACAAGGACCTGAGTTCGATCCGCGGTACCAAAAAAATAAAAAATTCAAGGAGGCCCTGTAGCTCAGTGCAAAGGTCCTTGTTCAATTACCAGTATCATAAAAAAAAAAGAAAGAGTATTCATTTATTATGATTTCTCAACAGCTTTAATTTTTCTACGTGTTTTCTTATACATTGAAAATCTGTATTTGGTATACAAGTTTCAAAATTGTATCATATTGATGATAACCATAAATATAGAGAGTGAAATGGTGGTTTTTTTCTTTTGATTGAAGATAGAATCTGGGTAAGTTCACTGTAGATTATGGCCTTAAATTTTTGGATTTTTTTGTTTGTTTGTTTGAGACAGGGTCTCTCTATGTAGTCTACGCCTGCCTTGAACTCACTGTATAGCCCACGCTGGCCTTGAACTCACAGCGATTCTCCTGCCTCAGCCTTCCTAGGGCTATGATTACAGGTCCTCAGTATCGTACCGAGCTTGGCCTTGTTTTTTTTTTTTTAAGAAAGAAAATCAAAATGACTGAGGGGGTAGTTTTGCAATAGAGCTCTTGCCTAGTATATATGGGGCCTTGGGTTCTAGCCCCAGCACCCTCCTCTCCCAGACAACAAAGAAATAAAAAGAACCCCAGCTGTGCCATATTTATTATTATCAGCAATAAATTCCTGTTAGGGAGCCGGGTGTGGTGGCGAACACCTGTAAACCCAGCACTCAGGAGGCTGAGGCAGGAGGATCGCTGTGAGTTCGAGATGAGCCTGGGCTATATAGTGAGCTCCAGGTCAGTCTCAACTATATAGTGAGACTCTGTCTCAAAAAAAAGAGAAAACATGAAAAAAAAAAATTCCTGTTAGGGACAGGCTTCTGTTTTGTTTTGTTTTTGGTTTTTTGGTTTTTTTTTTGGTACCAGGGATTGAACTGGGGACCTTGCGCTTGCCAGGTCAGCACTACTGAGCTAAATCCCCGGCTCTGGTTTGCCTTTTTTGTTGTTTCATTTTGTTTTGAAGACGGTCTCGCTGTGTAGTTCAGGATGGCCTTGAGCTCACTACCTAGCCCAGGCTGGCCTCCGGCTCTCTGAGACCCTCCTGCCTCAGTGTCTGAATAGGCTCATTTATGATCACGAAACAGAACAACCCGTTGTCTGCTTTTGCCATCAAATGGGCTCCTTTCCAGTTGTTTTCAATCAACCAAAGCTAAGGCGCTCTTATTAAACATCTGGTCACACTTAGGTAATGCCGCCCTCCTGCCCGCAGGATCCTCCCCACTTGCAACACCTCCTTGTGAAGTGGAGCCAGGCGGCTTCCGGCTTCCGGCTTCCTCCGGGGACCACTGCCCAGGCTTCCTGTTGGGTCAGGAAGACAGCGGGAAGCAGAGGCCTCTTTAACAATGGCTGCAGACTCCAGCGCTTCAAAGGGCCGAACCCTTGCACGTCTATAGACGCAGCCAGTTGGGCTGCAGCAGCCCTGGTAGAAGTGCAGGTAACCCGCGTCCTGGAGCTCCCACAGCCCCTGTGGCACACTGCGCGGAAGGCGGGGAGGGAGACTAGTCCAATGTGGCCTGGCGAAGCGTTGACCCTCACGTCTACTTTGGACGGCTGATCTCTTCGCTTCCCTCTTGGCTTGCAGAGGTTGTTTAGGGCTTGTGGCTTGTCCACAGTTGGATTTCTGCTATCCTCTGCTCCCCTCCTGCATACCTGGAGGGGGCCCACTGCAGAGATGGGGCGTACTCTGGGCGGGGCAGTGCTCAAGGACCAGCCTGGCACAGAGTGGGCGTCAGAACTCTTGTGGAGGAAATCGCTGTGCATGACGGGGATAGCTGGGCTGGCTGCACATGTGCAGCTGCAAGGGTATAGGAATTGGAGCCCGGTGTGGTGGCTCCAGCCTGTAATCCCAGCACTCAGGAGGTTGAGGCAGGAGGATCACCACCAGTTCAAGGCCAGGTGGGCTACACAGGGAGTTCAAGACTAGCCTGAACTACACAGTGAAACCCAGTCTCAAAAAAAAAAAAAAAAAAAAAAGAAAAGAATAAAGAAACTTACTGGGGATGTAGCTCAGTGGTAGAGCACTGGCCCAGCATGGTGCAGACCTGGGTCTGATCTCCAGCACCAAAACGACCAAACAGACCCAAAAAAGCCAGCTAAGACGTTACCCCAACGTCTTAAAATTCACTGTCTTAAAGGGTGTACTTAAGGGGGCTTTGGTATATTTTTTACAAGGTTGTGCAACCTTTACCTCTATCTAAATCCAGAGTATTCTTATCACCCAAAAAAGAAACCCGGCCCTTCTTAACAATCACTCCCCAATTCACTTCCTTCAACTCCAGGCAAAATCTCATCTTTCCCCAGCTATAGATTTGCCTCCTCTGGACATTTGATACAAATGGTGGTGGACAGTATTTGCTCTATGGTGTCTGGCTTCTTTCACCTTATCGTGAAGCTATCAAGGTTCATCCACCTCACACATCTCTATTAAAAATTTCAAATGAGGGCCAGGGATTTAGCTCAGTGCCACCACGTCTGCCTCAAAAGCACAAGGTCCTGAGTTCTATTCCTGGTACTGCAAAAGAATAAATAAAAATTCTATAGTCAGTGGAAATATTGGTTTGAGGAAAAAAGTAGGCAAGGAAAACCATTTGAGGAAAATGAAAATGTAATCTGTATTTTTCATTTTGAAAATGGTTTCTGTCAAAATGGCAGCTGTTGAACTTGGGCTTCAGCTCAGGGGTAGAGTGCTTGCCTAGCACATGTAAAGTCCAGCACCACACGGGAAAGGAAGAAGGAAGGAAGAAAAAGAAAAGGCCATTGTGAGTTTGGAACCCATAGTGACATTTGTTGGCTAATGTTTGTTGGGTTCAGGGTTTTTTTTTTTCCTTTGTTTTTGCAGCACCAGGGATGGAACTCAGGACCTCGCGTGAGGCAGGTGGGACGCCACTGAGCTAAATCTCCAGCCCTGTTGGGTCCAATTTTGGAGGATTTTCTGAAGCACAGAAGAAGTCTGTGAAAGTATGAAGAGATGTATGTATCAAGTCACCCCTGGGAAATTGAAAAAATTGCCCCTAAAATAGAGTCGCCACCAGCTTGTGTAGTAACCTCATGTGGGAATTTGCATACATTAATTGACAAAGAACTGGCCCACAAGTCCATACTTCTAGTACATTGCCTCTTTCTCATATTTATCTGGTGCATCATAGAACTTCTTGTTTCTTCCAAATTCCCCTTCACAGCTATCTGTTCTTACCCATAATTCCAGTTCATCCACAATCCCTCCTTCCCACAATTCCTTGTTTCTTCTACAATCCGTCCTCACCATAATTCTGTTAACTCCCGCAAGTCCTTGTTTTACCCCAATCTCTCCTTCCCACAATCCTTGATTTCACTACACAGGTCAAAGAGGTCACTTGTGAATGTATGTCTAGGAAAAGTCATCACAGGCAGCACATTTCAGGGGCACAGAATGAGTCACAAAACTTGCTTATTTGCAAGACATAGTCAACCTGCTCAACGACCTCACTCCAGGAGAGAGTGACAAATGTGTTCAAGCCAGCAGAAGAAGCGGCTGTGTTCAAAGCCAAACTGGAATTATGGGGAGGAGGAGGGGGACACTGGGATTTTTGCTGTTTCAAACGTTAGCAGAGACTTCGAAAGAGACTGAGCCGGGGCGTCTTTTCTCTTTTCTCCAGGACCTCTTAGCAGAGCCGTGGCCACCTATCTCAGTTTTCCCAGGAGTTTGAGCATGACTCCCCACCCAGAGAAGATGCCTGAGCTGGGAATGGATGGATCTGCAGCCGATTTGTGAATAAGCCAGGTGAATCGACTTTGTCAGTGCTAGGAGAGAGAAGCAACTGCTTGAGACTAAACTGCAAATGACAGTGGGCTGAAAAGTATGTTTGAGACAACTTCAAATCCCCAGACTAAGGCAGAATATCCTGAAATTGCTAGAAAAGCACCGAAATACTTGCTTCTATTTCCAACCTATCGTGTGATGAAGCAGGGTTTTCTGCAGGGACAACAACCGAAATGAGATTCCACAGTGGACTGGACGGAAGCAACACACTTCGGGTAGTACCATCTCCGCTCGCCCCCACGTAGGATCTGCTCATTGCAGGAAAACAAGTTTACAGCTCCCACTGATTCCGCTTTTATGGTGAGTTTTAAATCATCTCAGTATATATTGCAATGTCATAATAACAGAAGTAAAGCACACAATAAATGAATGTGCTGCATTAGCCCTGAACCACCCCTCTCTCACCAGTCTGTGCAGAAATTGTCTTCCACACAGCGGTCCCTGGTGCCACACAGGTTCAGGATCACTGCCGTAGACCATCCTTGAGCTCACTGTGCAGCTCTAGATGACCCTGAACCTGAGAGGCCCCTGCCTCGGCCACCCAAGGCCCGGGCTTACAGGTGTGTACCGGCTTGAAAGTATATTCTTTTGCTGTGGTTGTTGTTGTTGTTTTCGAGACAGGGTCTCACTCTGTAGTTCAGGCTGACCCTGAACTCATTACGTAGCTCAGGCTGACCTTAAACTTGGGGCAATCCTCCTGCCTCTGCCTCCCGAGTGCTGAGATTACAGGCATGAGCCGCTACACCTTGCTAGTGCATTCATGTTCGCTCCATCTGCACTTCCATTTTAATTTTTTTTCTTTTGGTGTTCCTTAAATGCAGCACCTTAATCTTTCCTCCATTTTTTAGTCTGGGCTACCTAGAGATTCTATCCCCTAGAAATGCCCTGTTCTTGGCTTTCTGTGCTCCACAATTCCCAACTCGCCTATCTTTCCTGCTTGATCAGCTGCATTAACTGCTGAAAAGGGCTCAGCGGGTTTTTCTCCCAGCAGCTTGTTTTTCACAGTGTGTGTCCCATTGCCCAGATGTCTCAAAGAAAGGATCGATTTCGGAGTAAGAATCTCAGGTGTCACACGGAATCCAGTGGCGGGGGGAACCAGCTGCAGATGGCTGGTGGACAGACTGTTGTTCACAACAGCGGGCACTTCAATGATGAATGAGGTAATCAATCATTCATGGAGCCTAGGTAGGCACTGTGCTCTGAATTCTGTATTTATCGCCTCATTCAGTATTAATGAAGAGCCTTTCACGTGGGTTTTTCTGATACCCAAACTGATGTAGATAATCCCGAAGCAAATCAGCACACTGCATTGTAATAAAACTTTATGTACACGACACACAGAGGGCCCTTGTGCGTCTCCCACAGAGGCTCCGGCTCATCCCACAATGATCTCAGAGTGTGGGGCCAGTGAACCAGAGATGCAGGAGGTTAACACCTAGCAGGGCAGACAGTGAAAAAGGAGCAGAAAGTTGCTGGCAGATCAGTACGTGATTCAACCTTCCTTCCCCTCTAAAGATGTTCCCAAGAGAGGCCCAGAGCACCCAGTGGGGTTTCTTAGGACTCTTGCACCATTACATCTGTACCTTTTTGAAGGCTGACTGATACTTCACAACATGGGTGTACACACACATGCACGCATGCATCCCGCCCTGGATCCCCTCCTCTTAGCTCTTCCTCTCCCTTCTACTTTGATGTCACCTTCCCCCCGCCCCCAGACTGCACTCATCAGGGAAAACATGCTGCACTTGTTCTCCTGATTCGGGCTCATCTCACTGAGCAGGGTCTCCAGTTGGCCCACTTTCCTGCAAGCGACATCAGCTCGTGCTTCTTCAGCGCTGAAGAATTTTCACGCCATCACGCACACCACACTCTTTGTTCGCCCGCTGATGGACTCCGCGAAGCTCATTTGGCTACTGTAAATTGTGCTGTGGAAAACGTGGGGTGCAGGTGACTGTGCAAGGCGGGGAGTTTGCCCCCGCTTGAGTATCAACCCCGAAGACGGATGCTGGGTTGTGTGGTGTGTCCTCCTGACTTCCGTGGATGTTTCCACTCTGTTCTCCAGAAGTGGCTCTATCAGCCTCTGTTCCCAACAGAGAGGCAGGCTTCCCATTTCTCCACACCTCCACCAACATTTATCTGTCATCTGTGTCGCTTTGCTTTGGTTTTGAGATGCAGCCCAGGCTGACCTCGAACTCTTAGACTCGAGGTGGACTCGAGCAATCCTTCCGCCTCAGCTTCCTGAGTAGCTGTGACTACGAGTGTAAACCGCTCGGTCTGGCCTTTGTCTCTGATACTTGCCATCCGTATGGATGTGAGGTGAAATCTCACAGTGTTTTGGGTTTTTCACCATACTGGTGTTGAACCTAGGGCCTTCACACCAAACAATATCTTTTGCTCTCAATTTTTTTTTTTTTTAAATCTGAGACTCACTAAGTCCAGGCTAGGGTAGAACTTGATTGTCCTGTTTCAACCTCCCAAAACGCTGGGATTACAGGCCTGTGCCACCATGCCCAGCTGCTCATTTTAAAATCAAGCTATTTCATTTTCTGCTGTGGTATCAGGTTATAAGACTTCCTTGCAAATTTCGAACGTTGACCTCTTATCAGATATGTGGTTTGCCAAAATTTTCCCCAATCCACAGGATCCTTAGGCTCTCTTTGCTAAGGAACCTGGGCTCAGATACTGACTTCCCCATAAAAGGTTCAGCTGCCCAGCTGCGGCCCCTTTGGGTTCACTGAAGACCAGGATCAACCTGGCTTCTCCATCCAGCGCGATGGGAATTTACTGACTTACTCTATGAAGTGGGCCTGAGCAAAGATAAAGGGACAATCTGTGTTCCATAAATAAGGGGATGTTAAAGAACTTAATAAAGAACGAAGGCATTGCTGACATCAGAGCAACAAACCGGTCGTAGATATAACACCTATAGCCAGGCACGGTGGCACATCTGTAATCCCCGCACTCTGGGAGGCTGAGGCAGGAGGATCCCAAACTTGAGCCCAGCTTGCGCAATTAGGAAGACCCTATTTCAAAATAAAAAAGAGGGTTGGGGATGTTGTTTAGTGTGAAGGCCCTGGGTTCAATCCTAGTCCTGCCAAAAAGAAAAGAAATATAGAATGGAGTGGAAAGACATAGGGATTGAGTATGGGTTAAAAATATATCCTAATTTGTGTAGTAGTGTGTAACCATAGTCCTAGCCAACTAGGATGCTGAGGCAGGAGGATCTCTTGAGCCCAGGAATCTGAGACCAGCCTTGGGACTCAGCAAGACTTCTGTTTCAAAAAAAAAACAAAAACAAAAACAAAAAACCAGCAAGACTCTCTCTCTCTCTCTCAAAAGTCATGTTAAAAAAATATGGAGTCATTTGAAATGACATCTGGCCAAAGCTGAGAACAGTATGCACTTGTTAAGATTTTGTGTGTCTTTGTGAATCTTCTAAAAAGCCAGATCCCATTCAGGATGCCAGGGCGGGGCCAAGATTCTGTATTTCTTAGGAGCTTCAGAACTTCTGGGAGACGCGCAGGCTTTATTTGAGGAGCAAAGCCCTATTTCTTGTCTTTCCCCGCAAAACAAGGGAAGCCCAGGATCATGAGGAAATTTGGAGAGCTTTGTTGAAAAGCCCCGAAAAGGGCTGGGGATTTAGCTCAGTGGTGCCGCTGCCTGCCTCACAAGTGCAAGGTCCTGAGTTTGATCCCTGGTACCAAAAAAAAAAAAAAAAAAAAAAAAAA